CCGCCATGGTCGTAGTGAACCCCAACTTCACCACCGAGCAGCGGGCGATCTATGAGGCCGCGCGCGCTCACGTTGCCGCTCGCAACACAGAGGTGGCGCAGCCGGACGCGGAAGTGGCACTAGCGATCAAGGAGGCCGTGGCGGCCATGGCCATAGCAAACCCCAACTTCACCACCGAGCAGCGGGCGATCCATGAGGCCGCGTGCTCAAGCTGCCGCTCGCAACACAGAGGTGGCGCCGCCGGACGCGAAAGCGACGCTGGCGATCAAGGTCGAGAATGCCGCCAGCTACACGTCCTACGCACCGCCACCATTTTTTCGGGGGCACATGTGGAAGGATGACAGTGCTGGCCCATCCACGTCCATCATCGACCTCACGTCCACTGGCAACGGGTAGGTCTCAGACTCCGATGAGGAGAAGTAGAGCATGGGAGGCAGCGGGGCCTCGAGTCCCAAGTGGGCGGTCTGTCTCCCACGTTCTACTCTTCCTTGTCGGAGATCGCACTTTCACTTGACGGGTCTTACCCTCGTCGCTCATAAGGACCGTAGAAGGAGGACATGATAACCAAAAGGGAACAACAAAGATTTGGACGACTGGTGCCGCCGTAGGCTAGATTTAGGTCTGGTCCTTTTAATTGAAAACTGTCTAAAATGTAATGGATGTGCTCCAGTTTATATAAAAACCATCTGGTTTGCATACAATTCGTTCGGTTAGTTGAAATCCGGTTCGAAATGTATGTGGCTACGGTTGGATGGATGGCTACTGCATCAGTGTTCGTGGATGGATGTATTGTCCGGTTTAGGACATCCTTAGCTACCCCGCCACCGGATTCGAGTAATTAGGTGCACAACTCTATCATTTTGTTTTCCTTTTGGGCATGCCTCGATAATGCCGCACATGCTTTTATTTTCTTATTTGGAACCTTGTTTAAGGCCCCCTTTGATTCGTAGGATTCTCAAAACGTAGGAATAGAAAAATAATGGATTGAAGTGACATGCCGACTTGAATTCCGTAGGATTAGCACATAGTGTTTGATGCCACGGAAAAACAAAAGAAATGAAAAAAGAGGTTGAAGTGGATACTAGATTTTCAATAAAATCTAGTACACATGATTACATAGGAAAAAAATTTATAGGATTCAATCCTATGAATCAAATGACTAATAGAAAAAAATCATAAGAATTCTAATCCTTTAAAAATCCTACGAAATTCCTTTTGAATCAAAGGAGCTCTAAACATGCGGGGTCTTGTGCTTCACGTATAAATAAAGCGGGATAAAGCCGTGTTTCATGAAGTATCCATCGGCAACTCTAAAACAAAATGCCGGTTTGACCTCTGGTTTACGGCCATCTACACGCATCCTAGTCAGACAGAACTAAAGCAAAGATTAACATGCTGCCAAGCCGGGGCTGCATCGCGACAGAAGGTTAATTTCAGTGTCCACAATAACCAAGGCAAGGTGATCCGCACCAGCAAACAGGGGACGATGAGGATCAAGCAGCCACTTGCGTGCAGCGCAGTAATCCGGCCTGTTTCCATCAGGTCGAACGCGTCCAGAGCGAAAGCATGGTGCTGCTGCTGGATCTGCGATGGCAGTTCCACATCGCTGGTCACTTTTGAGCGACTGATGATAGGCCAGCTAATGGGAAGAGCTGGTGACGCAGACGCGCAACAATTGAAGCAGGGAGAGGATCGGCCGATGGTGGAGCCGGTGCAATGCATGCACCTCCCTAATGCTCCACTAGCTAGTTCCTCCATGTCCTGTTTGTTAACTCTAAACACATACGTATATTTTGTTCCATTTGTCTTTCTGATAACCTCCCCATCTGTGGCGTGTCAATGCATGCTTCCCTCCCGGACGATCAAGATTAATAAAGCGCCTGCGAAGGAAGGTGATGCCGGGCGTTGGCACACCACCACACGGGACAATGGGGGGCGGGGCGGAGGCGCATGTGGGGTGTCTGCTCACCGGTGGTTTTCAGGGGCCCTGTTGGGCGCACCGGCAGAGATCCCCTCTGCCGCGCCTCCCGCCGGCAGCGACAAATACAAGACAAGCCACACACAACCCACCTCCCCCACCCCCACCCCGCAGTGCATGGGCCTGACAGAAGCCCATCCATCCATGCATGTACCTGCAGTTGATACGAGCAGCCTCATCAGATCAGAGTGGTTCAGACTTCAGAGTCGGGGCACCTGCACCTGCACCTGCACGCAGGTACTGGCATGCCTCTGCCTGCCCGAGGAAAATCGATCTGCTTGAATCTCCGGTCGACCTGACTCTGACCGTGTCTGCCCACAAGAGGAGGCGGAGGACACGGGGACGCCGGCCCTTTCCCGAACGGAACAGGAACGGAACGGAGTACGTTGCATGCATGCATGCATCGTCTGGCGCTGGCTGCTCCGGAGCAGTGGCGGACTGCAGGGCCGACAAGGTAGACGAGAGGCTTGGCTGGGTTGGTGCTATGCATGAGGATGATGGATTGATGGGCATGCGATGCAGTGTACGTATGGGGCTAGAGCACGCACGTAGCCAGCCGCGGCTACTGCGTGGCGCTCGCTCCATCGGCCTGTGTGGTGCGGGCGCTGGACGCGTCCATGACTGCGACCACGCCGGAGGGAGCAATGCAAACCACCAACGGTGACTTGCTGCTAGCTCATCGACTAACCAGTGACCACGAGCTGGAGTACGTACGTAGGTCCTATCGTATGGTGACACTCTCATTCTTCCCATCACACCTTAGCTGAAGCCAGCCGTTCGACCGTCTAAAAACGGTGACTACTAACTGCCCTGCTAATTAGGAAACTTCAGAGCCTTCAGGTAAGCAATTTAACAGGTGTTTGCTACTCAAGGTCCAAGGCCTCTGCATATTCATCTCTACTAAAGCAATGTAAAAATCATCAGATTGTTATACTCCCTCCATTCCTAAATATAAGTCTTTTTAAAAATTTCAATAAGGAACTACATACAGATGTATATAGACATATTTTAGAGTGTAGATTCACTCATTTTGCTCCGGATGTAGTCCCTTATTAGAATCTCTAAAAAGACTTATATTTAGGAACGGAGGGAGTACAAGTGAAGAAAACAGACGATAATAAGGACTACATGATAAAGACGATAATTACATAACAAACATGAACAGCCACGATTTCGCATAAATATCACAACATTCCGAAGATACTGCAAATACTCTGGCCGTGAAAACAACAGATGAATTAAAAAAAATCACGAACATTGACAAAAACCACTACACTGTCGCGGGTCTCATCCATCATCATCGTCAGTACTGGTATCAGAAGAGGACTGATGGTGCCAGAGGAATTAAGCCGACGTGCACGTATACTGATCATCGTATTAGCGACAACGCAAAGCACAATTTCCGACAGTAATGGCCAAAGGGTTGTTATCATTAATCCGGCGATCTCGCCGTCTTAATGCAGTGTACACGTGGCGGATGTGCCTGGCGGTGGTAGGGGCCAGTGTGCGAGTGAGTGCACGCAGAGAGGAGAGAATAGAGCTATCCATGCGGTTATTGCAGCAGCTGTCACCTCGCCAGTCGTCCTTTTGTAGCCTCGGTCAAAACTCAGAAAGCGGCCCTCTCGTTTCACTGCATGCACAAAGGGGTCCTTCAATTTTACCTCTGGTTACAAATAAGTTCAGCGCATCACAACATAGTTCAACAGCCACGGTAAATTATGGAAGTGAAGGATTTAGGCACATTATATCAGTGGCCATGTCAGTAATTGTGAAATGTAGTAGTATCATTTCTTTAGACAATAAATTTACGTCCCAGCTTATGTTGAAAACCTGAGAAATAATACTATAATCTTCTGCTCATTCAAGATCCCGCTCGAGAGGCTCGAATTTTCCCCATTTAGTGTGGAGGTTGAGATATTTCATGTGAAGGTGTGCGTCCTCGGGGTCGGTGTGAATGCCGAAGTGGCAGCCTGGGAGGGCGCATTTGTGTTGTTGGGTGTCGAGTTTGGTCACTTGGGTGGCAGAGTCGTCGACTCATCGGGTGTGTGGCCTAGGGGATGATGTGGAAGTCGAAGCCGCGATAGCTCCGAAGAGCGTCTGTGCCGTAGGGTGTCGCTTCTGGTAACACGGCTTGCCGCGTCGTTGGCTCGTCTAGTATGCAACCTCGGGCCTGGTGTGTGTTGTTGAGGATTGTAAGCTAGAACGGCAACCCGGGGCGTATTGTAGGGTGGCGACTATGGTCGCTTGGGCGACAGGGTCGCCGGCTCGCTCGAGGCGCAACATCGCCCCGAGAGCTGAACCAAAGCCCGCCATTTCGAGACCATAGAGCTTTGGCTGGTGTGTGTAACGCGGTTGTGTCGGTTTTCGGTCTGTTTTCCTTGTTCAACTGTCAAATTTCTTCTTCTTTATGAAAAGGCAGAGCTACAGCTGGTTGCTCAGGAAAAAAATGTTTTCGTATGCCCATTTCCGATCAATGGCTACCGTTCACACATCATAACCGGGTCTCCCTAGCCAGCCTCACCGGTCGACAGCGCACCAGGCTTACAAATTAAGGCAGATGTGGGAACGAGCCACTTACCAATTTGCAGACAAACGGAGGGGCCTGAGCGGGACTTGCTAGCCACTGCACTGCATGCATCTGCCAGCCCAAACACAGGGCCCCGGCCCTCCCTCCTTTACTTACCCAGCCCCCGCCCTACCTCACATGATCACACCTAAAGGAAAGGGCCCAATCCAATCCAATCCCGCGGGAAAAGTACGATTACTTCCTACACATTCCCTCTATATATATGGATTAGGAAAAATTCCAGGGAGCACGAAAGAGGGCCGGGGGAGGGAGACAGGGACGCGCCAGCTTCACGCACAAGCCCTACGCCGCCTCGCCTCGTTGCTTGTCTTCCAAGATCCGTAGTTAGCTGCACTGCGCCAAGAAGAATCAACCAAAGCTTCGCCCCGACTTAATCGCCATCCCTTCTTGTTTGGTGTTGTTGAACCTCGATCGATCTTGGCGCGGTGGTGGCTAATGGCGCACTGCGGCGGCGGTCAGGCGGCGTCCGTGGAGAGCCATTTCCAGGGCCTGCTCGACGACGACGACAAGTACCGCGCATTGTGCGGCGCCTTCGGGTACGTGCAGCAGCAGGAGTGGCCGGACCTCAGCGGCGCGTGCTACTCGGCGTTCGGCGCGCCGCCGCCGCCGGGTGCAGCGACGCAAGCGACCAGCAACGGCGCCGGCAACTCCTTCACCTGCAGCGGTAGCGCCAGCAGCGGCGGCGGGTCCGCGAAGAGAAAACCTGACGCGTATGTGGACGCAAAGGTGAGTGAGTCGGACGATGTTTTTGTGCATGCGCTGCGAGTCTCTGTCTCTGCGTGAGCCTCGAGCTGTGCTCTGCTTATTGGTGTGCTGGTCTTTGACTGACAAAAAAAGCTTTGCCAGGACGACTGCAAGAGGCCGAGAGGGAAGCAGCAGCTGTGCGATCCTGGCGAGGCTGGAGGGGCGGCGAAAGGGAGGCCGGAGAAGCCAAAGGCGTGCGCCAGGAAGAAGCCGGAGCCGGCGGCCGCCGGCCAGAAGACCGACTACATCCACGTCCGGGCCCGGCGCGGGCAGGCCACGGACAGCCACAGCCTCGCCGAACGGGTATGCATTGCTACTCCGGGAGGCCGGGGAAATAACAATTGATCTTGTGTATGTATGCACAATTTGATCCTGATGCGCGTGATGCAGGTGAGGCGGGAGCGGATCAGCGAGCGGATGAGGTACCTGCAGGAGCTGGTGCCCGGCTGCGACAAGGTCACCGGCAAGGCCGGCATGCTCGACGAGATCATCAACTACGTCCAGTCCCTGCAGAAGCAGGTCGAGGTACGCACGCACGCATCAACCATACCAGACCAAACCAGCTTGAATCTGTTTCTCTCGCTGTCCGTTCATCGGAGATCACGTTGCATGCTTCTTACTTTTGGGCATGGCCGCACGCAGTTCCTGTCCATGAAGATCGCCGCCTCCAACCCGGTGGTGAACTTCAACATCGTCGACGACCTCTTCGGCGGCAGGCGGATGAACCAGGCGTGCGGCCCCGCGGCGGCCCTGCCCGCCATGACGCTGCCGATGCACCAGGGGCAGCTGGACCCGTCCTGCCTTCAGATGAGCAGCGCTACCATGCAGCAGATGCAACAGCCGGCTGCTGGGTTCGGGCTGGACATGCTCGTCAGCAGCTCATACCCGGCGGCGCAGAGCGCGCCCCCGTCGGCGGCTGCCACGCCGGTGTCGATGTCGGCGTCGGCCACCGCGTCCGTCGATTCATGCCTCGACGTATGTGCCTGGAGATCGACCGTCCCTGCATGATGTACGGTTCTGGTAGATGATATTCTGAACTTCTTTTTGCTGTATTTTGCTGCAGGTGAACGGAGCTGCTGCTTGGGACATTGCGTCTCAGCATTTGTTCAGTGGGTTCGACGCACAGTTTCAGTCAGTTCAAAGTGAGTAGCTGCTTCTCTGAAGCAAAGCTTGCAGGGTTTACCTTGTACTGATATTCTTATGTGAAAAAACATAGATACAGAGTTAGCCAGGGAAAAATAAGATGGTGTTACAGTTAAGATGAGGCCAGTGGCCATCACGTACCTGCTATACTGACAGAAGGTTAAAGAATCTCATTACAGAACTCTGACAAAAAAAAATGCGTCAAACAGTTTATTTCATTTGTACTCGGCTAAAAATGAGTACAAATTTGGAAGATGCATGTGTATAGTCAGTTGAGCACAGGAAGCATATGTGATGAACACATTGAAACTTGAGTGAGCGGTTATGCTGAACATTTTCCTGAATCCAGCTTCTACTTTTAGTACGTAATGCAGTGTCAGGACTGAAGTGTCCATTTGTGCTATTTCTAGCTTCAGAAGAACATGTTCCCTGAATCAAGATGCTACTTTCCCTTGCAGGTGACTGTTTGCTAGACAACCTCAAAATGGAATTGTAAGCAGGATTAATTCTCATTCCTGGAGTTTTAAGTGCAACTATACGTGTGGCTGAAGATTCTTTATTCATAGCAACTGTACTAATGCAGTATTCTGTCAGCAATGAGAACAGAAGCACATTTGTGCGTGAAGTGTTATTCTTGTATTGCTAGTGTACCAAATCATAAGCGATCCACAATTCTTCACTACCAAGCTACACAAAGGATTCAGATTACAGCAAAAGCATTTATAATATGTTCTCGCTACCTTGCTCAGAATAAATATTCTCACTACAAACCAATCCAGAACAACAACATGCACACGTCTTATCAGATAAATTACATTAAACTGAAGGTGCGACACCAAACCAGTGCACCGCTGTCTCCTACTTGTCGTCGTCCCCTCTTCAAAGCACAGACTGTTCACCAGCTTCTGCAAAGACATAATTCAACCTTACTTATACTCGAAGTAGAAGATAACTCGTGTGCACATCATCGCTGGCAATAACTTCTGATGAACATAAGTGCACCCAGATCCCTCTCGAGCAAGGTATATTGTTTCAGATTTTCATGGGTACTACTCAAATTTCAATATCTCTTAAACCATCAAATATGTTTTGCCACAAAAAAGCAACAGCATAAGATAACTATGCTCTCATTGTGACTCGATCAAGAAAGTTACACTAAAACATTTTTTATCAAGTGGATATTTTGCCATCACAAACAAACACTGAATTAAAGAATTGTTTTAAGGAAAACAGAATCATCACCAACATTACAGTGTGAGTGTGAAAAGGAAAATGAGCCTTTTTAACCGAGCGCGGATTTGATGTGAGGAACAGCAGAAATTACTCTCTGAACACAAGGCGGACTTGTAGAGAAATGGCAAAATCATTTGCTTGAATATCTACTGGCAAAAAATTCCTCACAACTAAAAGCTGCTAGAATTATCCACTTGCATCCACCAATGCATATCAGTATGGGCATACACAGATGCACATGCTAAATTTGGCATTAGCACTTCTGTTTGACAGTCTTTATTTCGTGTAATGGTTGTGGACTATCATGATTCATGAAGAACTCGAACTAACCTTTGCCTGGGACAATGATAACTGGTGCTGCTTTACAGTTGTGGAAGCAATACTCACTGACACTTCCCTGCAACACACTATAGTAAAAGGGCAAAGTTAAAGGTGTACTTGACAATATATCTTCAGCTCATGGGCGACAATAAAATATGTCGATACATCAAATGGTAGAAACAAGAAACAACATTGAACATTTTTTAGCGCCTTTGTGATTTGACAACAAATACTCGAGCTATCACACATATTCTCTTAAAGAGCACTCAAAGTTGATGTTCTTTTCATGCATTAACTGAAGCATGCCTAGGCACTATCAGGCCTGATTCTGCAAACACTGAATTAGAGATCATTGGCTTGGCAGTTCTCGTTTCACAACAAACTAGTACTAGACTTGCTTGTAGATAGTAAATTAGTGAGAAAATTTATATGCCCAAAAATCAAGTATGACCTGCACTTGAACTATGTAAGGGAAAGTTGTGGCTGTGTGGCCATACAGTTACACCTCTTATCTAGACCATCCATTTTTGCATCAAAATTTGTACGCACAAACTTCTTCTTTTTGTTTCTCTCAAATAAGGAAACATTTGAAATTGAAACTTTGCAGGTCAACATCACACAAGTACTAACATGTGCAGATTTTTTCAGCGAAATAAAAATACTTAGAGTAGTATATAAAATGATAAAACTGATTCGAAATTTATAATTTGACAAATTTCTGTTGCATCACAAAATCATAAACATTTTATTCAGAGTGGGACTTGTGTTGCATTGACCAGCAAAGTTTCAAGGTCAAATGTTCTCTTTTTTTTAATAACAAATGTTCTCTTGTTTCGAAGAAAAAAAAAGAGAAGTTTATATGTAAAGACAGCCCGGATCTTGATACAAAGATGGCCGGCCAAGATAAAAGGTATAGATGGCCAAGATAAATCCACACTCGCTGTGTAACAATGCCAATACTCAAACGAAGATGTGTAAACTGAACAAGAACAACAAAAGGGCTTTGACGATACACCTCTGATGAACTCTCATATGCAAACCTTATGCTGATGGGATAACAGTACAATTATGCTTCCGAAGTACCAGATATTATAATGTTAGCCAAGGCAATTTAACTACGGAGCTAACTCATAAGCTCCTCAGGTTATCAAAGTTTGCCGCAGATGTCACTGAACTGTGGTTTAGGAGTCAGATACCTCTGAATAAGACTTCGACCACGTGTGCCAATAATGACGGCTGCTGGCTTCAATCGCTCTGCTTCTCGGCAAATAACCTTTCCAGCATCCCCTTCAACAATCCGTGCCTTGGTATGGACCTTGTAAGTTTCCCAATCAAACTCACATGTATCAATTCCTTATGGAAAGGAAACAGAACATAGAATTTCACAAATATGAAGACTGCACGAGAAATAGTCTGCGTAGCTTTCACTAAAAAGGTGCTCATAGCATTGCAATTTAAGCTTGCGTCGCAAAAGAACATGAGGTACGCTAATGAATCCGGTGCGCAAAGTGCTCATTTGCAGCACGAAACCACACAGGCAGAGACACAGGGGTGGTAACAGGGCATACCAGTGACTCCTTGAATGCCTCGACGGCCAACTCATCCATCAGTTCCTGGCTCTTGTTGTATACCAGATCATTTTGCACACCTGCAGAAAATCGAATCACATTCAGCCCCATTCTCAGTTGATTACAAAATGTGGACCGATATCCTGCATGTTCAGATGCTTGGATGATCTCACACTAATTCAGAATACAACCAAATTCCCCTGGTTTTATTTAAGACTGAAACCAACCCTCCTATGCTATCATGGCATTCCCATCATTCTAGCAACATGGATCCATGATAACCAGGATACCAGCCAACAACTTTCCTGATTGCGGTTCCTCTATCTAGGTGGGGTCGTGAGGGCATGATATATGCGCCAATTGACCCTTCTTTCTTTCCTGGCAACATTCAAGTTGATGAGGTCGTGGGGCACAAAATGTTAATCCAAGGATGGTGCCTCATCACTGCTATAAAGAGACGATCATATTCCAACCCAAACTAAAATGTGCCACAGTTCGGTGGCTGGACCGCCCTAAAAATTACTAGTATACTGTACTGTGTTTTGTTATAACATTAGTAAATAAAAAAATCGAGCAACCCTAGAGAAGCGCGCGATTCGGGGACTCAACTGGAGACGGCGTGGACGAGGTGGAGGGTGTCGGCGATGCGCGCGAGGTGGGCGAGCGCCCAGCGGAAGGCGTGCCTGGAGTTGGGGCCGAAGTCGACGGCGACGAGCAGGTCCCTGCCGCGGCGGCGCTCCCCGGTCTCGCGCTCGAGCTCCGGCGCGGCGTGGGGCACCACCGGGATGAGGCGCGGCAGCACCACCTCCCTCCAGCTGTACTCCTCCACGTCCTCCTCCACCGTCTCCATCGCCTCCGCTCGGTGGTCGGTACCGCTACCGCCGACGGCGAAACCCAACGCCGCCCGCCCGCTCGCTCGCCTCCACCTACCCCTTTTCGATTGCTTTTGCCGCACTCACTACGTACGTACGTCGTTCTGCTAGCAGCTGAAGTAAGTACTAGTAGCAGCAAAACGTTAACCGTGGTGCTCGTAGTATATTTATGTTGGCCGGTGACGACGGCGTTAAGCTCGGTCTGCCGGTGCCGGGGTATCGTGCTGGCGCGGTCGCCTCGCCGACTACACCTCCTCCCTCGTCCTAGTTCATTTCGTGCATCTTCGTCATGCGTTTCTCGCCATGTAAATTCAGAGGTCAAGCAGTAAATCTGGATTTCATCATGGATCCATCCATTTACCGTGGTCGCTGGCTGGTCCTTCTCCTCCTCCTCCTCCTCCTCCTCCATGTAGGCGGAGTGGTGCTACGGCCAGATACGGTCAAAGGGCCACGTGAAGTGGGGAAGAGGGGGGAAGAAATAGGCGGCCAGGGGCCCAGGGCCCATCCGTACGCCGCGGGTTTCAATCTCCCAGTGCTCACACATTTTCCTCTTTCTTTTTCTTTTTCAGAGGACGCCCGCACCTTCTAGAAGGCCAAGAAGATTCGGCGGGGATCACCACGCCACGCAACGCAAGCGAGGACGAAGGCGGTGTGTATATGACATGGACAATGACGGAGTTGGCTGCTGCGGTGCTTCTCCGCGGGCGAGGGAACCCACGATTACCCAAGAAAAGCAATCTGGTTCGAGGTTTATCTGCTGGCATATACTCCCTCTGTTCGGAATTACTTGTCTCGAAAATGGATGTATCTAAAACTAAAATACATCTAGATACATCCACTTCTGAGACAAGTAATTCCGAACGGAGGGAGTACGTATAATGGTTAAATGAACTCTTGGATGCTTCTACTGTTATTATCACTTTCTCACTCTTCAAGGTGCCTTCAAAGAAAAACATTCTTCTCTGGCCCTCAGGCAGCGTAGATCATCAAGATATGCAGATATGCAAGGTCCAGGGAAGCAGATATGCAAGATAATCTACTCTAGTCGGAATATCTGGGGACTTACCCTGAAAAAAAGGGAATTTCTGGGAACTATAATCAAACTACGCGTGGGACACATGCCACAGAAAAAGAAATGATTGGAGGCTGAGATTATGGGCACTACTTCCTCTGACCGAAAATGTATTTATCAAAAGTTACGTCCTTTTAAATCTGTAATCAGTTTACACTTGTAGCATTTCAAACAATATATTTTGCCCTTGAAGAACGCATCGATTTTCAGGTCTTCATACGTTTCTGACTACAACGTTTTGCAGTAAGATCTCAGACCGATTCAGCACAAACCCTCCCAAGTTCGACACAGATCCTAGAAAACGCGGTGGCATGAGAATGCTGACAGCCGCCAATCGCAGTAGCTAGCAGGAGAAAAAACACTCAAGAATTTCTGGGGAGAGCAGGCGAAGATGAACAACAATGTCCATAAAGGCAGTGATATGTCACTGCTAAACATTCCAACAACAACAACAATAATACATACCAGTCGCTTACAACAGTTGGCCCAAATCATCCTGGGGGGTCTGATACGGGGATATCATTGCCCCCATCTTCATCCGGCAAAGCTACCATCAATCTACCACCTACCATCTCTCCCCAGGGGCATTCGTCCCGAGAGTCGAAGCAAAAGATATCAGAATTTACAGCATCCAAGGGGGCAGGCAACACGTCTCCGCTGGCCCGAGCCTATTCGCAGGCCGGTTTCGTGTCGAAGCTAGTCAGGCAGATTGCAAAGGCCTGGAACGCCGACAGCGGGTATCTATAATCCATTGTGAATATGTCTTTCCCGATCTTCCCAAACTGGAGGATCACCTTTTCCTGCTCCGCCGCTGGGACGCCCAGGGAGGGGTCAACCGAGGCAACGAGCTGGAAGTTCTTGACCGATGCTACGGTGACACGCCCTCGGAAGTTGAGGCACCAGCACTGCAGCTGCTCGTGCCAGCGGGGAGCTTTATTCTTCAGAAGCAGAGGCGCTTCGCTGGTGGAGATCGGTCCGGATAAATCAGCGCTGAGGCTTGTTGACGAGAATTCGATGTTTGGTACCTTTCCTTTGCCACTAGTTGATAAGGTAGACACTTGTTCGTCGAGTGAGTGGACCATGCCAGTAGGGGTCGGGGCCTTGCCACCTTCCTGAATGCACACGGCTGGTATCGAGTGCATGGTGCACTGCATTCTCCTTGGTCCTCGATTGCGCAGGACAGTGAGCTCATATGAGACGGTCGCAACATTGTAATTGCCTAGTGGCAGTCTTGGTGATACTTGCTTCGAGTGCCTTTTGCTTGGCTTGTTGTTAGGCAACACCGCAGCATCACAAGGAGGTTGGCTATCAAATATTGTGAACTTTGTGCCAAGGAAGTTTGGTCTGATTCAGGAGAATATAGTATGATTAAAATGGCACAGTAAAGTAATCATATTACTTAGCCAACAAAATAGTAAGCTTACTTCAGTTTGCCAACATAGGTGCTGCTGGAATGAGAAAAATCATCAGAGATGAGTGATATCACAAAAGAAGTTCTGGCTGCACGTCTGATCTTGCGGGCCGCAAGCAAAAGCTTGTCATTTTCCCCATGCAGAGCTGCATTGCATACACAACACTAGTCAGTGACATTGTTGGGCATATTTGAACTTTGGTAGATTTGTGTGTCTGACTAAATCTCTGTAAATGAACTAATCTTAAATAGGACGTGGTGCAGGTTATCTTTCTGGATGCACCCTGCTCCACTGCCTACCAAGCTTGACGTGGACTAACCCTAAAAAGGGTTTGCTGTGGACTGCACAAGATATCTAGCTTATTCTGGTAAAAATTAATGCACCGCGTCAACGGTTGAGTTCAGCTTCTGCTCCTGCTACACTACACTTGCTAAGAATGAGTAGCCCAGGACCTAAAAAAGGTTTGCTGTGGACTGCACACGATGCCTAGCTTATTCTGGTAAAAATTAATGCACCGCATCAACGGTTGAGTTCAGCTTCTTCTCCTGCTACACTTGCTAAGAATGAGTAACCCAGGTCCAATTTGATGCAGCAAGAAGGGAGTTTTACTATGGTATACCCTCACTTAACTGATTACAGTGTTCGAAATGATGTTAACCAGTAACAGTTAGCTTCCTTCTCAATTTGGAGTTCAGGACTAGCAATGAATAAAGCTTTTGCAGTAGTGGGAAAACCCTTAGATTAATTGTTGTTTATTATTCTGCCGATTCTTCTTAAAGGAATGTAGTACAAACTCTATGATACAAACTGAACCATTTATCTTCGGTGCCATCCCATTAAGGCATTAGCGGATACAGATTCCACTAAATAGAATAAATCGTGCATCGACTCGCCTTGCATGGGCCAGTCATACTAACTCACAAGGAAAAGTATGAAGCAATAAATTATACATCTTGATGCAATGGTAACAGAACAAAGAAGGAATTCGAAACCATGTGTTCAAGCAATCAGGCAAGATCGACTTACATGGGCTGAGCCCCAAGTAGAGGAGATAGGTGGACGTCGCCCTGTCCCTCCTCACAAAGCACTGCACCGGAGAATCACGAGGCCCCGGCTGCGACAAATCACCGAGTCAAGCATCCAAACTCACACCATGATGAGCAAACAGATCATGGGGAGACGGGAGATACCTGCTTTAGGGAGATGGGGAAGGTGATCCTGCTGCACTCCTCGAGGGTCTTCACCACATCCTTGGTGACCTCGCGCCACGACCGGCAGACGGCGGCGCAGGCAACGACGTGGCGCCGCGCCGGCCAGGCCACCTCGCTGGCCTCCACCCTCTGTATCACGTCGATGAGCAGCTCCGGCGGCAGGTTCGCCCACTGCCCCTGCTGCTGCGGCTCCTGGCCCGGCCGCGGCGGCTGCGGCTGGGGCTCCGGCCACAGGCTGGGCCAAGAATGCCGCGACCCCCCGCGGCCGTGGCCGTGGCCGGCGCGCCCGTCGGTGACGCCGCCGCGCCTGGACATGCTCCCGATGCCGTCCCTCATCTCCTTGAGCTCCCGCACGATGCTCTTCAAAGACATTGCGACTTACGGGGCAGCTGCTGTCGCTCTCGCGGAAAGAGGCCGGCCCCCTTACTGCGCCATGGCAAGATCCGCCATTGCGGGCGAATCTACTCCAAAAATGGCAGGAGACAGCTCATAAAGTAGTCGCCGCCACTCACGCATCCACCCCAGCTAAACAAATGGGCATTTTTTTTTGAGAAAGATCTGAAGCACGCGGCTCCGGAGAGACCCAAAGAAGCTGGAATTTGAGGAGACGGCGAGGGCGAGGATCCGGCGTTTCCTCGCCCGGCGGCCCGGATCTGGGGAGGAGGCAATGCGGCAACGAGGCGCCGGAGAAACCGAGGATTCACGCTCGGGCGGCCTCGAGATCCAGAGCTTCCCCGCTTCCGCGGCTCAGAGAATCAAGAAAATCGGCTCAAGGACGGATCGGGGACGCTCCGTTTCCCTCATTTCCGCCTCCGTTGGATCCCCAGCTCCTTCCTTCCTCCCTTCCCCCCAAGAGCTCCAGATTACGGAGCCCCCCTCGCTCGCCTTCCTCCTCTAAGCTCTGGGTTTCTCCACGGAGAGCTTCTCCCTCCGCTCCCTCCCTCTCTAGCTCTTCTCTCTCTGTCTCTCCGCTGCAGCTCCTGTGAATCCCGTGTGTTCGGGCGTGGGTTTGTATTAGGGAGAGGATAACAAAAGGGGCCTTGGAGAAATAAAAAAAATGAACGGGGACGGGGTTTTTTAAGCGGGTGGGGACGGCCTTTGTGGGGCGCTCTTTTTTCCTCTCGTTGAGTTTTCACCTTTCAAGGTGTGCAGGTACTGGTACTCGTCGCGGCTCCCCAAAACCCACAGCTGCCCAACGGGAATCCTATGCATCGGCACGGAGTGTGCGCCGCTGTGGGACTCACGCTCTGGTCTTGGGGTGAGGTTGGGCTGCTGCTCCGGTGAGGTGAGGTGAGGTGAGGTGAGGTGGTTGCAGGGCAAGTTACATGGTGAAGAGACCCTAAAAGGCACTTTGTGTTGGGAGGAAGACTTTCCCTCTGGGATGCAATGGACGGTTGATGGAATGAAAAGGTGTCATGGGGGTTTAGGGGGATCAGAGATCCAATCTGTCAAATTGTCAAAATGATAGTGTCAAGGTTTTTTTAAGGGTTCATGGCTTCAACCCATGAGAAATATCGACATATCAACCCGACATCTATGGATGCACTCCCTGTGTATTTGGAAGACGGGGTGAAATCCTCGGCGCCAAGATCAAGGAGCAATGAAAAGAGTTCAAACCTTGCCATTTTTTTTACCTTCAAATTGAATTAATCTCTCCTAACCCCAGTAACGTGGGCTCCTCACTTCCACCAAAACTACTCTTCTCGGTCACATGTCGGCATGCAATTCAATAGCGAAGATCCGCCTGTTTTCTGATTGGTGGGCAAGCAAATGAAAAGATTGCATTGATTTCGCTCAATTCTTACTCTCTGCTTTTTGCATGCAGTTATTGCGCTCCGATTCCGTAGTGTCATGAACAGATTATGGTGTACTTTGGGCACATCACGACTTTCTTTGCTCATGGTGGCGTTCTTTTGTGGGAAGGGGGAAGAAATATACACGTCTTTATTTCGTGACATTAGCAATGATTTGTACCGATCAAAGATCAAAAAGAGGTGTTACACATATGTGTGTGTCCACACATTTTTGGCTGTAGCATAAATTTGGTTTACGCACAAGGTTGCTCTACCAAAAATTTGGCTAGCCCCAATTTTAGTTGAGATTTTTCTTGAACATGAGTTGAACAACATTGACTAAAAAATAAACCAGAACCGCTAAAGGAGCATTGGTATGCCAAAAACTTGCCATCCACTGAAACAACGAATGTTTTTTTGGTTGTTGTCAAAAGGAAATGGATAATACACTTCGGCCATAATCCAAAACATACCCTTAAGTCACTATGCATTGTGGTAATTTTGGTTGGGCTTTTTGCTTGCACATGAGTTGAACAACATTGGCTAAAAAATAAAAGGACAAGTTGGTCCATGCCACTGCCGAAGTTGCACATTCGAATTATGTCACTCAAAGTTGTGTGTTTTGGTTTGTGACATTAACGCTTGTGAAGAAATTAGGTCCATGCCATGCCACACCGCTCCGACAGTTGTCGTTAGTTTGTCGTCAACTTTTGTTGTTTCATCACATTTGAGACTAAGCGCTTCGTCGCGTCAACTGCGGCGAGGAGGCGACTCAATTGATCCTTCCGGTCGATGTGGGCCCCATAGTTGATGCTATAGTTTCAATTCTACCACTCTGGCAGTACTACGCTGTGGTGTGGCCTGACTCTTCAGCCATCCCTACAGATGTAGGGGCGTGCCGTTGAGGCCATAATTTCAATTGTGCTACTGCGATGTGAGCCACCTGTGGGCCACCTACAACGCACGATGTAAGTGCATCTATTGCCCCTTAGTGTTTTTGGTGTATTGAAGACTTATAGGTTAATGGACTAATGCATTTATGAGTGTACACAGGTCTATAAGTCTATAAGGAGTTTGATATTTACAAAGAAAGTCGATCCCTAAAAATGAAGTTCTTCGACTGAAGACTTTGGATCTCTGAAGACTTTTTGAAGACTTTGAAAGTGAAGAAATTAGTGTGACCTTGAAGACTTGGTATTCATTCGAGGAACATGAAGCGTGAAGACTTTTGTTTTCGTAGTTTCATTTTCTCTTTCTTGAGTCATAGGAAACACCGCACTGTTAAAACGGATCGAGGAAATACTAAAGAAAAATTTTCATGTTGTGTTCAACTCAAAATCATACACCTACCAATCCCTTCGAGTGAAGCCATTGAAAATCTCATACAGTCCAGTCATATTCTTCAGTGACAGAGACGAAATTCTTCTGGTCTCTGAGGAATTTGTTCTGACTAAGGAGTTAGGAATTCGCCAGTGCGGATTGCCTACACAGCGAGGAACATGATAGCCCTGAGAATTTTGCTACTCAAAATTCCGATGCGCCAGCTGTCTCAAAATATCTATCCACCTAACGGTCATATCAGTGAAGGGCATTTATGTCTTATCATGTCGGACTGCTCCCTAGGCTATAAATAGCCGCCCCCTACAACCACTAGCTGGTTGGCTGCTCCGAGAAAAATTGACACTTGTCATTTGAGAGCAACCCATCCTCTGAGGACTTTGAGCGAAAATCATCAAGTGAGGAAAAACCGAAACCCAAACACCTACAAACTCCAAGTGATTGAGCATCACTGAAGAGATTGATCCTGCGTGGATCCGACGCTTGTTACCTTTAAAGACTGTGATTCTTCCAGGACGGTTAGGCGTCATGGTCTAGAGCATCCAAGAGGAATTGTGGATCGCCGAGTGACCAAGTTTGTTCGGAAGTCACTTGAAGACTTACCACGAGTGATTGGACGAGGTCTGTGTGACCTTAGTTCAAGGAGAATACGGTGAGGACTTGGTGTCCTGAGCTGCGTGTTCAGGACTGGGTGTCCGGGACTCTGTGTCCTCGAGTTTAAAACTTTAAATACTTAGCCGCTCCAACCAGACGTACAACTGAGACAGCAGTTGCAACTGCTCTACCAAATCATTGTCTTCACCAAGCTTACTGGTTCTATTCCCTCAACTCTTTCATTTCCTCATAACTGTGTTGAGTATTTGTTCATATCTGTGTTTGAAGACTTTGACTGAAGACTTTCTCAATTTTCTCAGTTCATTTTCTTCAGTCTGTTTGTCTTCATCCTGTGTAATCCTGTGCTTACGCTTTTTGTACTCTGTGCTTGTCTTCATTTTATCATGATGACTATGCTTGTGTTCTGTTGTGTTTACTTTTGAGTACTTATTCCACTGCTAGTAGGTGTGCAGGTACTGGTACTCGTCGCGGCTCCCCAAAACTCACAGCTGCCCATCGGGAATCCTATGCATCGGCACGGAGTGTGCGCCACTGTGGGACTCACACTCTGGTCTTGAGGTGAGGTTGGGCTGCTGCTCCGGTGAGGTGAGGTGAGGTGGTTGCAGAGCAAGTTACATGGTGAAAAGCCTCTAAAAGGCACTTTGTGTTGGGAAGAAGACTTTCCCTCTGGGATGCAATGAACGGTTGATGCAATGAAAAGGTGTCATGGGGTTTAGGGGGTCAGAGATCCAATCTGTCAAATTGTCAAAATGATAGTGTCAAGGTTTTTTAGGGATTCATGGCTTCAACCCATGAAAAATATCGACATATCACCCCGACATCTGTGGATGCACTCCCTGTGTATTTGAAAGACGGGCGTGAAATCATTGGCGCCAAGATCAAGGGGCAATGTAAAGAGTTCAAACCTTGCCATTTTTTACCTTAAAATGGAATTAATCTCTCCTAAACTCCAGCAATGTGGGCTCTTTGCTTCCACCAAAACTACTCTTCTCGATCGCATGTTGGCATGCAATTCAATAGCGAAGATTCGCATGTTTTCTGATTGGTGGGCGAGCATAATGAAAAGATTGCATTGATTTCGCTCAATTCTTACTTTGATTTTGCATGCAGTTATTGTGTTCCGATTTCGTAGTGTCATGAATAGATTATGGTGTAGTTTGGGCACATCACGACTTTCTTTGCTCATGGTGGCGTTCTTTTGTGGAAAGGGAGAAGAAATATACGCGTCATTATTTCGTGCACGCTGGGGTGTAGTATGACATTAGCATTGATTTGTACCGATCAAAGATCAAAAAGAGATGTTATGCATATGTGTGTATTGACGCAGTTTTGGTTTTAGGGTAAATTTGGTTTGAACACAAGGTTGCTCTACCAAAAATTTGGCTAGCCCCAATTTTAGTTGAGATTTTTCTTCAACATGAGTTGAACAACATTGACTAAAACATAAACTATACCGCTAAATGAGCATTGGTATGCCAAAAACTTGCCACCCACTCAAACAACGAATATTTTTTTGGTTATTGTCAAAAGGAAATGGAGAATACACTTCGGCCATAATCCAAAACATACCCTTAAGTCACTATGCATTGTGGTAATTTTGGTTGGGGTTTTTGCTTGCACATGAGT